ACACACACACACACACACACACACACACACACACACACACACACACACACACACACATACACATACACATACACACACACACACGTTTACTTAGCTATCTAAATGGGTACATTCCATAGGCGTAATGGTTTTTATACTGTACAAACTGTATATTATATCACCCTACACCTAAACCTACCCCTTAAAGGAAACTGTCTGCATTTTTACAATAAAAAAAAAACGGTTTACTTTATTTTTATACCAGTTTTACAAATGAGGACGTCCCCAAAGGAAGGTTTTTGGAGATTTTGTCAGGTTTAGCTCACTTTTGGGTACAAATTTGTCCCCAAAATATGGTTAAATAGGTACACACACACACAAACTTATTTGGCATGTTGACAAAAAGAGTGAGCTATAAATGGTAAGAGTATCCGTGCATGTCAAGAATTTACTGTCTCGCCGTACATTAAACAAAACAGACACTTGCACTGCTGGACTCCATCCATGACTGTAACATACACCAGCACCTCTCTGAAGACTAACAGCGTGTGTATGAGTGTTTATGTATTTTTTGTGGTCCATCAACTATGAGATTTTGGACTGTGGGCACTTAGCCGCAACAATCAGCGTCAGTGACCAAATTAATACATCATGGGAGTCTTGTCTATTCTGTGCGAGTGTGAATCTATAAATACAGCAGGCACATCTTTTTCCAGGCCGAGTCCAAATCATTTGCTTCAAATCAATAGCTGGGTTTTAAAACAGTGACACTAGAACAAGAAAAATACACAGATGCAAACAAATAGAGGGAAAACGGTACTCACTGGGAACTCTGTTGATGGCTCGTAATGGTCTGAGAACCCGCACGATTCTGATGGCTGAGAAACTAACGTTATGACCATCTAAAGAATACTCCAGCATCCTAAAACATAAGCAACACAAATTCACTTCAATTGCACTTGTAATGCAACACAATAGAACAATACATATAATAAAGAATAATAAAGTAATATATATTTTTCAACCATTTGATGATGACATTCAGTATAATATAATATAATTATTATATTAATATATAATAATTATAATATATAATATAAATCATACTCATATTATTTATTTATTTTTATTTATTTAGTCATTTAGCAGACACTTATTTCCAAACTTAACATTTAAATTAAAAACAAAAAATAAAGCTTAAAACAATTCAAAATATTAAAGAATAAAAGGTATACGAGTATAATAATGATTCTAACATAACACTAAGCCAAACACCAAAAAAAAAAAAAACTACATATACGTGTATGTACAACCATACACACATACATATATATACATACACATTTATAAATATATATAAATAATATTATATAGTAATATATATTTTTTTCAACCATTCGATGACATTCCATAATAATATTAATTAAAAAAATCATATTTATGAACAGGAAGTAGGGCTGGGCTAAAAATCAAATGCGATTTTCATGCGAATCTCGTCAAACAATTCAAAATATTAAAGAACAAAAGGTATAAGAGTATAACAATGATTCTAACATAACACTAAGCCAAACACCAAAAAAAAAAAAAAACTACATATACGTGTATGTACAACCATACACACATACATATATATATACATACACATTTATAAATATATATAAATAATATTATATAGTAATATATTTTTTTTTCAACCATTCGATGACATTCCATAATAATATTAATTAAAAAAATCATATTTATGAACAGGAAGTAGGGCTGGGCTAAAAATCAAATGCGATTTTCATGCGAATCTCGTCAGTAAAGCCGCTTCTGGTGATTAGTAGTAAATCTCCAGCACGTGCTTTCAGATGGAGCAGCATTTACTACACAGAGCCGTAGATCACCGACAAGCTACACAAAATCGCAGGCGATTTTTTGCATAGCCCTAACAGGAAGATAATTAATATTATGATATTTGAATTAAGATTATAATATCAGTTTTATTTATATGTAATAATAATAATAATAATAAGCATTTCTTCTTATCCTTTTTTTTGTGGAAACTGTGATACTTTTTTTCAGGATTCTTTGATGAACAGAACGTTTGAAAGCATATAACAAAACACTGGACAGTTTAAAATGTTTCACAAATGAATCACAACATTCAAACGTCATGTTTCTACACAGAGGCTGAGTTAAAATTAGTGCTGTCAATTGATTAAAAAAAGTATCTAATTAAACACACATTTTTTTTCTGAAATGAATTGCGATTAAATTTATCAAACACTAAAGCTACAAAAGTGATTGATTTCCTCCTTTTCTTTTGTTCTTTGATTAACAGACATGACAGCATATGATATTTGAATTAAGATTATAATATCAGTTTTATTTATATGTAATAATAATAATAATAATAAGCATTTCTTCTTATTATCCTTTTTTTTGTGGAAACTGTGATACTTTTTTTCAGGATTCTTTGATGAACAGAACGTTTGAAAGCATATGACAAAACACTGGACAGTTTAAAATGTTTCACAAATGAATCACAACATTCAAACGTCATGTTTCTACACAGAGGCTGAGTTAAAATTTGTGCTGTCAATTGATTAAAAAAAGTATCTAATTAAACACACATTTTTTTTCTGAAATGAATTGCGATTAAACATTAAAGTTTTTAAATAAACTTTTATATTGCATTAATTTCACATTCCATCTTCAAATTAATGTAGAAACAGCATAAATACAGTATATTTTTAATATTTGTTTAGTGGCATCTTTTTTATGTCTGAAGTCGAGTATCACTGATACCAATATTACTCTCTATGTCTCTATGAAAATTTTTTCCCCCCTAATATTTAACAATTCAACATTACAGTAGCTATAATTGAGAGCTATCAATTTTAACCTTTATTTGACTTTAAAAAATAACTTCCAATTTAAGTAAACTTAAAACAATATTTCACTTAATAATAAATGTCATATTTAGCTACCTGTGCCCTTCAGCAAGTAGGAAATATACAGAAATTGAATAAATTTATCAAACACTAAAGCTTCAAAAGTTATTGATTTCCTCCTTTTCTTTTGTTCTTTGATTAACAGACATCACAGTGGTTGAGTTATTAGGATATTTTGGCTGCTTTAAGATCTGCTGCTACTGAACATGACGCAGATCTGACACGCATCATATTTTCTCACAACTCTTTACCTTTTCTGACCCACTTCAGCTCTTAAAATCTGTACTAATGAGCTGATGAGTTGAATCGGGTGTGTTAGATGAGGGAGACAGTGCTGGGCTGCTCCAGGACAGTTTTGAAAACCACTGCATTTCAGAGACATGTTCTTAAATCTGACTCATATTTAACAAATACTTACATACAAGCACAGTTTTAAGGCAGCTTTAATCACCTTTTTGGCAACTTTATGATTATACTGACGAAATAACTACCACATTGCGTGCTCGTAGTTTCATTTGCGCTTTAATATGATATAGTGTTTTAATATAATACAGCATGCACCGCCATATTTGTCTGTGCATTTGAAGAGCACATGCTACGAGCACAGTATAACGGCTGACAGAACAGGAAAATTGGTTTTTACTGACATTTGGCCTGACAACATCTCATCTGACCGCAGTTCACTACTGTTCTACTGAAGCTCCCTCGTCACCTACACCTTTTCTGCACTCATTTGACTAGCGCCTGGTGGTGAGGTGAAGTTGGAGTGTGCGTTTGAAAAGTCTCCCATTTGATGTGATCATAAAAATACGTTCTGCGTCTAAATAAACCCAATTCTTGTAAAAAAAAAAGAGACAGAAGCAGCAGTTGTGAGTGGGGTGGCCAACACTAGCTCCGCCCCTACATAAATGGCATTAAATATTTTTAACGCGTTAAACTGAAAAAATTAATCGCATGCGTTAACTCGCTAATTTTGACAGCACTAGTTAAAATGTCTCTTTCTCGCTTTTGCACTCACATGTTGTGTGATGATCCCTAAATGACACAACACAGCAGCATGGGAAAATTTAATGTTACTAAATTGATTCAGAATTATATGTTCACCACGCTAAAAAGGTGACGCGTAGGCCAACATGAATGTCTATGCTATTTATACTGCTTAGTGTTGTTTTTGTCCTGTTATAGGCATACTTTTCATCTGACTGACAAGCATTATAGCATGAAGGAGATTTACTAAGGAAGTCTAGCTGGTTAAACTAGTAAAGAAGCCTGAAGCATCTCAAAATGGTTCAGGAATGTGTTACCTTTGTCCGAATTAATGACCAACTTGTTCCTTCTTCACTCACACAAGAGCACATTACCGTTTTAATGAGTTTTAATGACTGATCAGGCACTTTAGGTTGAGCTGACTTTTGGACAAAGAGGATAAATACAAATCACTGTGTCAATGACAGCGCAAGTGACAAGAGAGACAAGATACAGACAGACACAGAGACGCTTGCCTGGTGGTAATTGTCATTCATGAGCTTAGCTGTGACACATCGACTTGACATTAGAACTTGACCTGACATTAAAACTGGATTTGACATTAAACAAATACACACACGCACACACATACACAGACATTGTAATAGTTAAGAGTTTAATGACTCATGAAATTCTAGGAATCACACACTAATAGTTGACGTTTTAGATTTCGGAGCGTGGCACTCTCAGCTTTGTGATTTGTCACTCACCCAGCCATGACGATAAAGAGGTCAAGGCGGTTCCAGGTGTCGCCAAGGTAACATTTCGGACCAAATATACCCAAGGCCACCATTTTAACCACCATCTCCACAGCAAAGAATGCAAAGATGAAGTCATCGAAGGCCTGTGGAGAGAAGAACCACAGATTGCTCATGAATACATTACACTAAAAAAGTGAAACAGCAGTGTCCTTTCATTTAAAGTGCAGTTTTAATCCTGTTTCATTTAGTTTGCCTAAAAGCAAATAACACTTCCAATTTAAATATTTTTTTTAGTTTTTCCTATGTGAAAATTATACTTTCATATTACAAATGAAGTTGTAAAAAGCCAAAAAAATATTATAGTGATCTACTTTAAGTGACATTTTTATATTAGTCTATCGAAAATCTGTATTGTTAGTACACAACAGATTAATATTAATCATATTTTAAAAAGACATCACAATAAACCGTTGACTTTAGCTGCAGTAAGTAAATTAAATGAAACATTGACTAACAAAATATCTTTAGTTTTATCTTAGGTGAAAGGTCTACTTTAATATTATGGTTAATTTAGTTTGTGTAACTTTTTGGGGATTTTTTTTAACAGCAAATGTCTGAAAATGCTTCAGTGGATGCAGAAAATATTTGAGACGTTTGAACACCTAAAAATGAATTAATTTCATAAAATATCTATGCAAGTGGCTTATGCAAATAAATGATCTAAGTTCACTTTTCTAAACCATTTTTTATAATTTGCTTTCAACTAACTGATCCCAAGGTGGTATTAGCGGATGTTTGAAGTCAGTTCCCCTCAAGTTCCCACAGGTGTCTTAGCAGAGCAACCACATGTTTCATCTCCTAATTGATCTCATTTAAAGCAGCGCTTGTGTAGAAAATTCATCGCCTTCAACAATAAATTTCAAGACAATCTCTGTCGGACTTAAAATCGCCTGTTGTTAGCAACGTTCCCTTTATTATGCAGAATCCACAGGTTATTTGCAAGTTGTTATGGAGAGATTAGAGATGCGTATTTTTCTGAGTCTGTGGCTGATGCTTCATGGTGTCTTTGAGGGTTTCTGTCAAAACTGATAGTATATAATATAATATTTAATATTTAATATAATATTTAACTTTTTATTTCTGATGATTGTGCTTCAAAATTTATAAAAGTTGTGTTCATTTGTAAAGATTATAATGATAACCAAAACATAAAAGAATCATAAACTTTTGTTGGTCACAAAGCTTATTTCTGCAATAATCCAAAAGCCAATGGAAAAATCCTACTGGGTTTTTGACGAGGGAACCAGGATGATATGGAAGCTTGTTTCCACCATGGGAAAACAAAGAACAGTTAAATTTTTTATTATAATTGCAAGATCTAAACTCAGAATTGCAAAATATAAACTCAGAACTGTGAGATAAAATACAAAAATACATCATCACTGCAGCATTCTAATGTCTTATTTATTTTTTGCTTGAAATGTGCATTTCTGCTATAATTATGCAAATACCACTTAGTTTGATATTTTCTTTTTATTTGTTAATCCAATAGAACATTTTAAATGTGGCTTAAATGTCTAATTCTTCAGGCCACTGGGTGTATGTTTACTTGTATGCTTTTGTCTTTAAATGCTTTTCCCCAACCAAGTCAATCAAGGTAAAATCAAGGAATCACAGAGATTAAAGTCTTTAGTTAATCAATCCATGAGTGTTATGTAAGTGTGTGTTACCTGCAGGATGCTGCACCTGTCAGTGTTGCACTCCAGGTCTTGGCAGGGCTGGAACATGCCGAGCGTGACGCAGTTCAGCAGAATCACCAGCATGCTGACACGCTCAAACCACGTAGAGCTCTGGTTAAGGTAAATACAACTCACAACAAAATCAAGAGTTCAAACATTCCTTTTATGTTCAGCAGTCATTTGTTTTTAGTGTAAGAACTTTCTGAAATAAGCAGTAAAAATAATAGACTATTCATTTTTTTTAGTATATTACCAACCATGAAGAAAAAGGAAAGGGGCTTTAAAGGGGTCATATGATGCGATTTCAAGTTTTCCTTTCTCTTTGGAGTGTTACAAGCTGATTGTGCATAGATAAGATCCCTGAAGTTGCAAAGACTAAAGTCTCAAAACCAAAGAGATATTCTTTATCAAAGTTAAGACTCTGCCACGCCCCCCTAAAACAGCTCGTTCTAACACGCCCCCACATATCTACCTCACTATGTGGAAATATTAGCATAATGCGCCCAAATGTGCACGCAAAGAAAGAAGGCGTGGTTTCAGTAACCGCAGTTAGTGTTGAAGCAGCATGTCAGGGAGACGCTGTGTGTTTCAGTGCGAAAGCAAAAGCACTTTATTTGGCCTTCCGAAAGTAGATGCATTTAGGAATCTTTAAGATTACTTACAACAGAACAGCAATGCATTTTATGGACGACCGTTTCGTGAACCTAGGAGAGGAGGTAATTCTGACTTTGCTATGACAATCTGGCGCTTCTGAATCAGCTACTGTTTTGTTATTAGTTTAAGTATTTGCTATTGACTGTTCAAATGCGGAGTTTTGCGCACTGTGTGTGTGTGTGTGCGCGAGCGAGCGAGAGGGAGAGCAAGAGAGAGAGAGAGAGAGACCAAATACACAAAATAATGATATTTAAAAAAGCATCATATGACCCCTTTAAATAAAACCTGTTTATCTAAATATAACACTTTTATTTACTCTTGATTTTGGGGTCTTTCTTGAGTAAAATTGAGTGTTTTAATACAGTTTAGCCTTTCAAAGCAAAATATACATTATTGTTCAAAAGTTTGGGGCCAGTAATTAAATTAAATTCTTTAAAAAAATCTTAGCCCAAAATTTCAAACAGTAGTGTATAATAGAGAATAGAAGAAACAGAGTAAAACAGACTCAATTACATTACATAATTATATTAATTTCATGCTTGCATAACTTGCATCATAACACTAATACTGTACTGTATTCTGTTTGGAGAAATGCTGCTATATTTCCCCATGAACAGCTAAAAGAATAGAATAACATAGAATAACATAGCATAGCATAGCATAGCATAGAATAGAATAGAACAGAATAGAATGCCTTTTTAACACAAAACTATAAAATCAGGTGGTGAAATGGATGGAACTGAGCATGAATAATGTAAGACATTTGTAGATTAATAATTGATTTTGTTCTCAAGAAGGCTGAAATAATAGAATTTGGATTACATAAAAACCCACCATAATGTTTTAATAAAACGTCTTTTTTAATATGCTCAATTCCTGTTTGTGACCATTAACCATACAACTTAATAAAATGCAATAAAGCCATTTTGTTTTCATAAGGGTCTAATTAAAAACTGCAATTACATTTTCACATTACAGTGCACTGATCTACACACATACCTGCCACTGTAAAGGCAAACTCAGCCCCACAGGCACCACGATCAGACCAACCACTTTACCTCATTAATCATAAACCTGCCACAGCGCACACCATCTCAATCACCACGGTAAATCCTGCAATTATCCTCATTTACATCAGGATACACCACACCATATTTACAACCTGATCAGGATTTAAAAAGCTTCTTTAAACCGTTAAGACGATATCTATCTGTGTCTCAGAGCAGCATTAACAGATGAGAAGGAAGTGATCAGGCCCCTGCTGTTTCCTCAGGTCTGTGTCTTAGCAAAACCCTTCTGGAATTCCAGCAGACTTCCCTCTCACTATAAACTGGGACAGCATTCCCCTCATCAAACATTTATCCAGAACCCACACTAACGCATACAGACAACTCCAGCTCTCGTCTCTCATCCTCAAGATTGTTGTGCTCACATTCATGCCACTTCAGCTGAGGACAATGATGATGGTGATATAGAACAGAAATAGGATGAATAAGGTGATGGAAATCTTTTAAAATCATTTGCACATGCACAAACCAGTGTTGGTGAGTAACTAATTGAAAAATAAAGACATTCTTTCTTCTGTGGAACTTATTTTGAAATTATTTTGAAATGTGGCTTTTTTGGCCATACCGTGAAAGTCAGTGGGGTCCTGTCTTTGTTTGATTATGAAAGCTGATTTTCATAATATAGTCTAAAAATATATATTTGTGTTCCGCAGAAGAGAGAATGTCAGAAGACCTCATTTTCATTTTTGGGTAAACTATCCCTACTTTAAATTATGTGTAGCTTGTAGCACAACAAACTATAGTTTTTTCAGGCACTGGTAAATTTTGAGATTGTGGGCTATTTTGCATCCATAAGTGCTCTTCATTTAGGTGGAGCGTGTGTAAGGCTGGACAAGGCTTAGCCTTCCCCTGGCCACGTGTCGGAAATTAACGAGGTCTTGGGGCAAAAATTCCACCAAATTCCACCTTATGAATGCAATGGCCAATCACAGGCGATCTGATTAGTCATCACTAAAACACTGCAGTTTATTCAGCAAGTGCTCACTGACAAAATTCTGCACTCTCGCGACTTCTATCATCATAAACAACAAAGTGCAGATGTACGGTGTAAGAGATTAATTTTACATTGTAGACAGCTTCATTGATTATAACTTTTTTAGAGTGTTTAAACTTGCGTTAGATTGAAGTCAAAGATGATGTTTTTTGATAATGTAAATGTTCTTTGCCTGCTTTCTGTGTATTATTTATTCGCTGTTTTATAACCGTAAAAATATAATCATTATAAATAGTAAATTACAATCTTTTTTATTAAATTGTGATCAGGTTAGATACAAATTCAATCATATGCTATTAAAAAAATGTTATGACACCCAAATATCTGGTACTTGAAGTTGCCTAAAAAGGTTTATGATGTACTGACATTAGGATACTTTCACCCTTACCCTGGAGTTGGTTTACCCTCCGCATATGTTGAATGAAAACACTGAAAATACACATTTAAGTGTTTATTTTATATCTATTTGCATCTGTAGATCACAATGCATATTTTTAAATTCTCAAAATGAGTTTTTCTCCTGCATTGAGCCAGAAATGTCCACTTCAGTAGCACTAACATACACCAAACTGAAGGTTTTAACAGAAGGGTTTGTTCATTCATCTGATTAATGTAATATCCATGACATTCTAATTTATTGAGATGCACCTGTATATATTATATACAGTGTACAGCATGAATGAGTACACCCCCTCTGATTAAATATAAAAGATGCATTTTCTTAATGATCACTAATATAATTAATAGAAAGATGGCAAAATTTAAATATTTTAAACATTCTTAATAAAAACATAGAAATACATGCCATTAATATATGTAAAATAAGAAACAGCCAATTTTTGTTTAAATGAAGGATTGCAGAATTGAGTACAACCTAGATTTAATTCAACCAAGTGTAATATTCTAGAACTTAATATGTCCTCCATAAAATGCAGGGAATGAGAAGAGGGTAGCATGTTCAGTTTCAGGTTTTTGTATTACATCACACAGTGGTGTGTGAATTCATGACAGCGTTGATAAAGTACTACTCTCTCACACCTTCAGCACTCATACATCCTTTTAGAAGAGCTTTACTACCACTGAATGCCACTGTGAGAACCAGGCACTTCTCTCTATACTCCTCCTCTAGCAACACCAGAACATTTTGGATGCTGTTAGAACCGAAATGATTGAATTGGTCTCATGAGACCAGAGTATGGATTCCCAGAAGTCTATATTTTGTAAATATGGGCCTTGGAAAAAGCTAAATGAGTTTATTGTGCTTTGGCTACAGTCAGTAGTTCTGGTGTGGATAAACAACCATGCACGTCACTTCTGCATGCTGCATCTTACTCTGTGAGATAAAGTGTCACTCTTTTCACAGCTTTTGCCGGCTCTGAGACACTTTCCACAGTGTTTCTCCTGCTCTTTTTCTAGCAAAAACTCACTTATCACTAAATGAAAGCTTAAAGTGAAGACCTGATTATTTCAGGGGCCTTTTCACAAGTCCATTGTTTTTGAATTTCTGTGTTACTTTGGCTATATTTTCACACTTAAAACAATAATTTGGTATTCCTCTTGTACCATTGTCCTCTTTGATGCTAAGAAATAAATCTCCTGACAGTTCTCTCTCAAGTGGTTTCATTGTTGTCAGCATTAAGTCTAAGTATGATTCAGTGGGCCATATAACACTTAATTATCAAGAAATTACTTACCTTTAACAGTTTTGGTTCAACATACTTACCTGTTGATCAATACTTGCCTTAACCTTACACCAGAATTTTTATTTTTTTTTAGTTTTATTTAGTAACTTTCAGGAGGGTGTACTCATTTTTGCAACACAAAATGTTATCACTTTGATAAGAAAATTGTATTTTCTTGAATAATTTTAACATTCTTCTTTGGTAA